CCTTCTCTCTCTCTCTCTCCCTCTTCTCCTTCCTCCTCCTTCTCCCCTCCTCCCCTGGCCCTGGGAATTTTTAAAAATTGAACTGGAGGTGGGTAATTTTTAAAAAAATCTTATTTATTTGAAAGGCAGAGTTACAGAAAGAGACAGAGAGAGATATCTTCCATCTACTGGTTCATTCTAAATGGCCACAACGGCCAGAGCTGGGCCAGGCCCAAGCCAGGAGCCAGGAGCTTCTTCCTGGTCTCCAACACAGGTGGCAGGGGACAAAGTACTTGGGCCGTCTTCCATCGCTTTCCCAGGCTATTAAAAGGGAGCTGGATCAGAAGTGGAACAGCTAGTACTCAAACCAGTGCCCATATAGGATGCTGGTATTGGCATTGCAGGCAGTAGCTTTACCCACTATGCCAAAGTGCCGGCTCCTATGGGGATTTTTATACCATTACATTTGTTTACTTTATTTTATTTATTTGTTTAAAAGGCAGAGTTATAGAGAGAGAGGAGGAGAAACAGAGATCTTCTATTCCCATCAGTTTACTCCCCAGATGGTTGCCACGGCAGGGGCTAGGCCAGTCTGAAGCCAGGAGGCTAGAACTCCACCTGGGACTCCCATAAGAATGGCAGGGGCCCAGGCACTTGGACCATTTTCTGCTGCTTTCCCAGGCACATTAGCAGGGAGCTAGGTGGAAATTGGAGCAGCCGGGACTTGAACCCTGGGCTCATATGGGATGCTGGTGTTGCAGGGTGCTGCTTAACCAACTGCACTCAAAGTTTCCCCCTCCACAAAATTATATTTAAAAATGTAAAGCTATGGGATGGGCGTTGGTGCAGCAGGTCAGACATTTCCTGGGATGCCCACATCCCACATTGGAGGGCCTGAGTTCAGGTCTAGGCCAAATTCCTTCCAACCTCATTCCCATACACACTAGGAGAGGCAGCAGGTGATGGTTCAAGCACCTGGGACTCTGCCACAGACCTGAGAGACCTGGACTAAGCTCTGGGACCTGGCTTAAGCCTGGCCTAGCACTAGCTCTGAAATTTTGGGAGGGAAAGAGAATATGGGAGATTTCTGTCTGGGTCTCCCTCTGTCTCTCTTCTCTGCCTTTTATTCCTTGGGGGTTTTTTTGTTTTGTTTTCAAGATATGTTACTAATTTGAAAGGAAGAGTGACAAGACAGAAAGATTGACAAAGAAAGAGATCTTCCATAAACTAGTTCACACCCCAAATAGTCTTAACGGCTGGGTCAAGGCCATTCTGAAGCCAAGATCCTGGAACTCCATCTGGGTTCTGCACATGGATGACTGGGGCCCAGGACTTAGGGCCTCTTCTGCTGCTTTCCCAGGAGCATTAGCAAGGGAGCTGGCATGGAAGTAGAGCAGTGGAAACTCCAATCAGCACCCATATGGGGCAATGGCGTTGCAGCCAGCGGCTTAACCTGCTGCACCACACCGCTGTCTCCAAGATAGTTCTCTTCTTCTGTAAAATACTACTTGCCCCACTGTTTAGAGGCTAACGTGGAGGAATGGCTGTTCTGGTGTTTTGCACTTGGTGGATCTTTTCCCATGTCCAAAGAGGTAAAGGAAGCTGTGCCTGGGGTGGTGTGGGGGGGCAGTCCTCCTGATACAGTTCAGAACTGCAAGTCAGGTCTTCAGAGTATGGGACTCAGAGTAGCAGTTTTTGGAGGAGGTAAGAGGCACACAGGCAAGTTTTGCCAACTTGTCCACAGTTCTTGGACCAGTGAGAAGTAAAGGCAGGCCCTTTCAAACACACACTTTGAAAAGAAAAAAAAAAAACGCTTCAGCCCAGCTGAAAGCGAATGAAAGCTTTTCCAGTTCCCCCCATCCCCACCCCCCACCCCCCGGAAAGCTCTGGAGTTGAGCCACTGCAGATCCTTTCCCTCTGCCCTTGAAGAAAATCCTTAGTAAGCCAATCCCCAGGCCAGCACTGCATTTCTAATGACTCAGCCCTCCCTGAGCACAGCTGGGTCCCATAGTAGTTTACTTCCTTGATGAACTTGGCTCTTACCTTGCTCCTGAGTCTTATTATGCAGCGGCTTTGGGGATTCCTTGGAACATGGAAATAGAGCAAAGGAAGTGATATGTTCTCTTAAATGAGGGAGGTGG